AATGCCCAGAAGACAGTGGAGATTATTGTGGACTTCAGGAAGCACACAGCCCCACTCCCCCCATCATCCTGACTGACACCCCCATCACCTCTGTGGACTCATTCCGCTTCCTGGGTACCACCATCACCCAGGACCTGAAGTGGGAGCCCACCATCACCTCCGTCATCAAGAAAGCCCAGCAGAGGATGTACTTCCTGAGGCAGCTGAAGAAATTCAACCTGCCAACACGGACGATGATGCAGTTCTACACTGCAATCATCGAGTCCATCCTCACCTCCTCCATCACCGTGTGGTACGCTGGAGCCACTATCAGGGACAAACAGAGACTGCAGCGTGTTGTGCGCTCTGCTGAGAAGGTGATTGGCTGCAGACTCCCATCTCTGCAGGACCTGTACACCTCCAGGACACTGCGGCGTGCAGCTCGGATCTCAGCTGACCCTTCTCACCCTGGACACAGTCTGTTTGACCTGCTCCCCTCAGGCAGGAGGCTCCGGTCCATTTGCACCAGAACCTCTCGCCATAAGAACAGTTTCTTCCCCTCTGCTGTTGGACACATGAACAATAACCGTATGACTGTTCCCACCACTAACACATGACCCTACGCTGTGTTCACTGCATCATTCCATGTTTGCACTGATCACCACCTGCACTCATGTATATATCATGTATATATCTATCCACTTAGCACTTTTAATTCTTATTCTTATTTTTATATTTTTATGACAGTATGTTTGCACTGAAGCACCGCAGCAATTTCCTAATGTTGTAAACCTGCTCAACATTTGGCAATAAACCCTTTCTGATTCTGATTCTATAAGAGAAATACAAAAAGATGAATTCTTGCAACTGTAGCTAATGAGATTTATTTTTTAAATTGTCTTTCCATATGGGGTTCCCTATCATGCATCATTACAGCCGCCTCCTAACCCTTGACATGGAGGATAAACACAACATATGGTGTGTCATCAGTGGAATTGATGGAGATCTTCTACATTGCATAAATCCATTAGTCACATGTTATCTCTCTCTGTTTGGCAGGGCACTCAGCCGATATCACCAATTAAGATCACAGACAAGATTACAGCCTTTCTTGGCTTTATTGCTGCATGCCCATTATACCAAACAAAAAGAATCAGCCTATTGTTCATTATCATGTCTAAAATGTTGGTATCACAACAGCTGGAGAATATTTTCAGGTGTAAAATGAATGTTTCCATAAAGGCATCACATTGGTACGGCTGCAGCTAACAATTATTCAGTTATTTATTGTTTTTTGATTATACAGTGAAATTGGAGAAATATGTTTAAATTTGTTTGCATAATTTCTTCAAATTGCCTGTTTAGTCTGACTAATAGTGCAGAAATCACAAAAGGAAATCAGCAGCATTTAGAAAGCTGAAAGTGACTGTTAAGGGTTTCACTTGTTGTCATTCGACTTTCCAAAACACTTTTTCCCCCTCTCTTGATCTTGATTAAATGTCTCAACCAATCAGTTAATACCCATTACAGAGTCCAGTACTGGGGAATTGCTCAATATATTTATCAATTTTCTTTTTTTGGTTATCTATTTGTGCTATATTGATTTCAGCATTATTCTATTTTGCAAGCAGAAATCCTAAATTTTACAAGTTCACTCCGTCACATCTGTCTTAAACTTGATGCACTACATCTTGGTCAGTGTGCTGATACAGCTGGTTTCTTCAGTTTACATCAAAAATGCAAAAATCAGCTAGATTTTCATCTGGAAACCTACTTGTGGTTATAAATATTTAAGTTCTGCCACATTAACAGATTTGACAGCTCATAAGTGTAACGTATCTATATGCAGGCATGCTATTTCGTTTAACAAAAGCGTGGGGTCCATGTCTATATAGAAGAGGAAGGGTGCTTCCCCAGGCTGGTTACTGGTAGTGAAAACCTCTGGTCCATCTGTCAGGCCTGCCTGGCCGGCTGTCCCCGTCACAGCAGCAGGGATTAGCCAGGCTTAAGCCAAGAAACCAGCCGCCTGCCCTCTAGCCTGTCGGAAAAGGCATGAGGAAGCCCCATTTCCGACTAAGCCTGCGCTCTCCCAGCAGAGGTCGTCCATCATCTAGCCTACTGTGTCCAGTTCTCTACACCTACATTAATAGAGAGCATTAATAAAAGGAGCTATGAAGGGATGGAACGTGAAAGGCAGAAGAAAGAGGACACCATTTTGTTTGCTGCTGTTCTGTTCATTCAGCTCAGTTAACTGAAGCATTGGGAGCTTCGATGAAAGAGGGTGAGTGCAGCGCCTTGGGGGACGCAGGCTATTAGTTCTCAATGGGATGCGAGGCGAGAGGCAGCTGGGGAGGAGGCGGAGGCAACAGCCCATCCATGAATACTGTCAATGCTGCTCTCCTGCTTCCTGCATTCACTTCCCATACAAAGAGCCACAATGGTGTCCTTTGGCGTTTTGGCTGGCTGAGACAGCTCCTGGAGATGCTCAGAGCCATGTGGGGGGTACAGACGATGGTGTGTGTGTGTGTGTGTATGGGGGGGTCAGTCGGGAGCTGGCTTAAACACCACACAACCAATCTGCACGTGCCCAGCCCGCGGCCTGCCAGTGGCCACACAAAAGGGATGATGTCATGCTTAGCCAATAACAAAAGAGTCTGGGTCCGTCAGGCCCTCCTCTCTAACCCGGCTAGTTCCAGCTTTATCCAGCCTAGCATTAATCGCAAGCCTTATCCTCTTTACTGGGGGTGGGGAATGGATAATAACAAAGCAGGCATGGGACAACACTAGACAGTGAGAGGAGAACTGGAATAAACTAATAAGAATCGAGGTGGTTGCGAGCAGCTGCAGGCTATGGTTGCAAAACAGACAGACAGAGCTGTCACGAGAATGAAAGTGAGCGAAATCAGGAGGAAGCATGGCTCTGTGGGGTGCCACAGTGTGAGATCTGCCAAGCACAGAGCCCCACACAGAGATGAACCCAGAGACGGAGCACAGAAACACGCTCTAGCGCGCTGCACTCAGGGCAAGTAATGAAACTGAAACTCTGACAGTGATCCAAAGCCTCAAATAAACATTTCTCCAGCAGCAGCTAATTTAAATCCATCGCTTTCTCTTTGTTGTCTACATCTCTAGTGTTCAAAAGATTTTATTTTTGGGTGTGTAAGATCTCGGCTAAAATAAAACCATTATCGGAACAAAACTGGATCTTTTGGTTGGAATAATACAAGTATTCAGATACAGAATCTTCTGGCTGATAATGGTTCATGTTAGGTGAAAAGGAAGGCATGTGGGGTCGACTCGCATTAAAGCATTAGAGCCAGGGAAAAACAGCAGGTATATAGGGACTCGGTTAAATATCCCAGGTGCTATTAGTGGAACTGAAGTTCATTTTACCATGTAGACGCTGTCTGTCATCTACAAATGTTAAAGTGTAACCCAGCAGGAGTAAACAGAGCAATAAAGTAATAAAGTCTAAATATTTGCCTTTTTTTGGGAAGTGATTTTTTTTAATTATGAAAGATGTACCAAGCAGGTAAATACATGTCAGCCAGTTTGGGGCTGACACACAATGGCATAAAATGGAAGCTGGTCATAAATCACTCTTATAAATAGGCTCAACAGAATAAGATGAGTGGCAGGCCAGACAACCAGACCGCCTCCTGGCAACCAGGAAGTAGAACAACAAAAAAGAAGTGTGAACTGCCATTCTGAGTCACGCCTAAAAAAAAAATTTCACTCACCTGGCAAGTGTCATGGGTTGCTGTGAATCATTGTTTTATTGCACTGGGTGTAACTAAAAAGTTAAATATCTAAAAATAACATTTGAAGCCAGGAGGCAGAAAATCATCTCCCATGTCCTCTACAGCTTTTTTGCTTTCTGTATTCAGTCAAGTAAAACTGTTAGCTGATGAATGCATGCGCAAACATGACAGCACAAAAAGCACATACCGCACACAAAACACAACCCTCCTCCCCCCCCCCCTCAGAGATCCTTCAGTTTCACACAGAGACTAAAAATACAGGAGTCAGCATGCCGCGGCTGGACAGGCCATGGAAAGAAGGCTGTCATATTCAGAGGAGAAGTCATGGAAACCAGAAGGATCCGATTTCAGGGCCACTGATAAGCAACAAACATACAGTATGCGTGCCTGCCCACCAAATATAGCATCCACTGATGTGCTTGGCTAACACAGAGGAGGCTAGTTTGGAACTACAGTGAAACGCAGGTCAGACTGTTGGTAATAATCTCATACAGCTGGCGTAAAGTCAGCATCTTGCATGACGGCACTTCAACGGTGTGACAGCGTGCTGACAAGGGAACCTGAATCTGAGACCCCAGGCTCAAAGAAAGTCCTCCTATATCACTCCACTGCACCTACTGCATAATGAATACATGCTACAAGCAGAGCTGCTATACTACTAAATGTGAGCAGACGAACAAACAAAAATTTGTAAATCACCAAGGTTTGCTTGGGACAAGTCAATCAGTTGTTTAAAGGAGTTATTTCAGTCTGTGGGTTGAGGGAATTTATGAAGCACAGAAAGCACTAAATATAAAAACGCGAACCATTTTTTGAAATACTCAAATTTTTATTTTGATCAAGTTCAATAAGAATATGAATACCACTCATGTTCTTCAATATGAGATCAATATGAGTTTCGTAATTGTAAAACTACCAGCATCTTAAATTTGGCTTGGCACAAAGACTGCACACAGGGGAAACGGCTAGTTTGGCTCCGAGCAAAAGTGACAAACTCCACTTACTGGCACCTCTAAATCTCAGCAGTTAGCATGCTTTGTCTTATTTATTTGTGAGAAGTGTAAAAACATACAAATGACCATTTTAAGAGGTTTTAAGAGTAGATTATGAAGCAGGTAGGAATCAAGTGTCTCACCGTTATCAGCAAGGTAGGAGCTTGGCATAATGTCAGCTTGGCACTTAAGTGAATGGCTCTCTAATCACATTCTACCACCCAAAAAGCATCAGCTGTCAGGTAGCCTTAATTGAGCTTTAACTCACCTTCACTTTGCCATTGGGTTGAAGCAGCTCAGTGACAGACACTTTGTCCTGCTGCAGCCGCCTCTTCACCAGCTTTGAGCAGCAAACGTTGACCGCGCCTTGTACGTGTGACGCATTGTACTCAGAAAACGTCCTGCTGTCAATCACCAGCAAGCGGCCTGTCCCTCTCTGGATGAGGCTCGCCAGGCGCTTGATGTCCATGGCGCTCTTCTTGTTGGGCCCTTTCTCCCCTGCCATGATGTAAGACGGGCTGAGTGGTAAGCTAGGGTCAAAGACGTGGGGGTGAGGGGTAGTGGGGTATGAAGAATGAGGGGTAGATGAGAGAGGTGGAGGAAGGAGGAGATAAGGGTCAGTGGAGAAGGGCTACCACTGGAGCAGACGCTGGGAGATCCATGGTGCCTAAAAGAAGAAGCGACAAAAAAAAAAAAAAAAGGAAAGAGAATTAAGTAAGCAAAGCATTCATGGAGAAATGTAAGAACGCGACAAACATGTGATCATAAAGGGCACATGTTGGTCTAAGCTTCACTCAATCACTCCATGGCAACAAATAAAGCCCTTCAAACTCAACTGCTGCAAAGTCACAACAACGGATCCATTTCACACACTTTTCCAATCCTGACTCTAGCACAAGAATTCACACGTACTTTTGATCTTTTGCATTATCTTTTATTAGCAGATATTTAGCACCTGGCATTTTAAAATAACCACAGTGCTATAAAGATGAATACAAAAGTTATTTAAAGACTTAAAAGCTGACCGGATCATCCAACGAGATTTAGCAGTCCTGGGATCTGAAGGAATATCACACATCCGAAGACAAAGACTTAAATTCGACAAGTGTGAGTGCCTGTGTAACTGTGTGAAGGCTGGTGGTTGTTGACCGAGGGTCTCTTGTGCAGTAGCTCGTGAAACAGGAAACTGAGAGCGTGCGATAAATTAAGCCAGGGGAATTCAAAGAGCAGGTCTGGACACAGGCAGAAGGCCTGTGTGACATCCTGTGCGTGTGTGTTTGTATGTGTGTTTCAAATTAACCATCCACAAACTTGATGAACTGCCTCCGTCTATCCGTCACTTCTAATCACTCTGATCTCCTCCGTGCTCACATTCACCACAGCCCTTTTACCTTTAACATGGGACACACACACACACACACACACACGATCAGTCGTTTATTGGGGTTGTGAGAAACAGCATGTGTGCGCGTGCTAGACTGCACATTACAAAACCACTGTGCCATTTAATTAAGTCAACATGCAAATGAAAAAAAACCCAGCGTAGTTTGAGGTCCATTTCATTGGTCAACCAGGTGTCATGCGACAAGTAAAAGGTCAGAATGTGAATGCAGCCATGTTGTTTTATTCATCTACAGGCACGTGGTGTCATTAAAAATGAATGGGCCTCTTCTCGCTTACCCCAAAGCGTAAATGGAGGTTTAAACCTCGGCTGAAAAGGAAGAGTGTGAGTGACAGAGGTGCAGTAGCCAAAACAAAAACGATGATAAGGCTATGTTCCTCTTGAGAGGATGGGCAGAAAAGAAAAACAGTTAACAACACTGGTGAGAAAGTGAGAGAGGGGGTTAAACTGGGGAGGAAATGTATCTAATCACTTGTGTCCTGCAACTTTTCACCTGTGGTCTGGCAGCGCCACAGAGGGAGGGAGTAGAGCGAGAAAGGAGAGCTGTGTGGAGGTAACGAAGGGTGTTATTCAGCCAGGATCTCTCCAGCCTAGCAACTTAGCCAGCTCAAGGTGAGGGAGAGGGGATGATTGTGGAGCAGGGAAGAAACAGATGAAGGAGAATGTGGGTGAAAAATCAAATCTCACATGCAGACGGCCACATCAAACATATGACATGGAGGTTGAGTAGTGCTTCACTACAGCCTACAGCTCGTCTCCTACTGACTTGTAGTCTGCTGGATGAACTGAACATGCAGCCGATGTACACATGCTTTCGCTGCCTGGCAACACGCCTGATGCAAGAGGAGCAGCACAAGAACATGAAAGAGAGTCTAGAGAGACAGTAGCAACTGCTTGCACTGTTAAACAACAAACTGCTGCTGAATCAGAACGTAGATACCGGCAAGCATTGACATAGATAAAAATTTAGATAGTCAATGAAGGTTGAAGGCAAAACGCCCACTGGCTTGCACAACATATAAAACAGCACAAACAAATGAGCACAGTCCACCTAAGCTTAGCTGATCTTTTCTTTAACTGAAAAAGTGAATCCCAGTTTATGTGTAACTAGCATGCTGACATAACTTCACATTATAAGCATCCGGATATCTACTCTGCAGAAAGCTTTGCTGCAATACCAGTTTGCCCCTGTACAAAAAACATCCGCTGCCACATTACAACCTGCCCCATCACCTGTTATACCGTACCTTATCTGGCAGGAAGCCCTTCGGTCGTGCAGCTAACAACACAGCTTCGAGGGATGTGAATCTTTTGCTGTCTTTCTCTGTGTCCCTGCCGCTGCTGAGCACAGCATCTGATGCTGCATATGTCTAATGGCGACTGCTCTCCCACCCACCCAGTCTCACACTTTTTCCTCTCTGAATCTCTCTTTCCTTCTCTATCACTCTCTTTCTTGCTTTTGTGCAGTGAACAGAGATGGGGAGGGGATGAGTGTGCAGGTTTACATGTGTGGTAGTCAGAGACGGAGCGCTCTGCATCTTTATGTCGCTTGACAATTGTCCCATGGCAAACTCAAAAAAATCCCGCTTCTATGGACAGAAAGGGGGTTGGAATAAAAGGTTAATAAGAGAAAACAGCAAGAATATTGACAATAAAACATGAGAAAGGCAGAGAAATTAAAAGAAGCAACACAGCCATCCACGTGATTACTCAGCATAACAAACATCGCCCATCTCCTCATGCAGAAAAAATGCCCCTCCACATCACATCCAAGCAGGAAAAAAAAGGAAGAATCATTAAATAAATAAATAAATAAATAAATAAAATAAGCTCCTCACACTTAAGGAAGCAGCACTAGGCTGTGATGCTCCGACTGAACAGAAGAAAACAAGAAAAGAGAAGAGAAAGCAGAGAGACAGACACACTGTGTACAGGCCTGGAGCAGATTTGGTTGCCATGGAAACAGCCCATGCTGGGGTGATAAGGGGGCACGAGAAGGGTGATTGTGATGGGATGCTCACTGATGCTGATACAAGATAAAGCTAAAACAGACAGTGGAGCTCAAGATAGATTCTCCCAACCTGAGCTGTATGTGCACCTTTTATTTTACTCACTTAAAAGAAAATGACCACAAATTAGCCTAAAAGCCACCGACCAAAATTATTTTAATATATTTCTATCTGATGTTTTCTCTAATGTAGCCCAAAAATCTCACTGCTTTCCCAAAAGCAAGGTCACACAGTCAGAAGATCCACACAGACCAGGTTATGCAGATCCAAGGAGTCAAAACAAAATAATTACACCACGACAACTTGCAGAGAAACTAGTCTGACTGGTCAACTTTGAGGAAATTTTTACTCCAGGTGGGATTTTTTTTTTATAAACCCTACACATCCTTCGGATTTCTGGAAATTTTAGCTGTAAATGAATGGTACCCAGAAATTTGACGCCCAGCTGTATCTCTTCACCAACCAGTCAACTTGCTGTTCACATGCAAATTTGGCGAGACACACGTAAGTAATGACTTTAAAGCAATTCAATAGGTAAGCACAAAGATGAGTGTAGACACTTCAGCATGCAGCCAAATATGATGTCAACTCAAATCATCTTTCTTTCTGAGTTATGCTGTTGGATGATGGCCAAAAAGGTGTTTTTTAAGGACATTATGATGTCACTGTTAAGGATGGCTATTGAGAACCGGTTCCAAATACTTCATGATCATATGCCTTTGAGCTCCACCTATCAATGCTGGTGTGGTTTTCTACATTGCAGAACAATGACGCTAAAGCAGTGGAGCTTTTCGTAATTCCTCCCATTCAACCATTTGTTTATACTATGAAAACTTTAGATAATAACACACTGCGCTGACGATAAAAATCCTGCGCTGACCGACATTTCTCCACAAGGAAAATTGATTAGACGTCAACAAGGAAAATGATAAAGAATCAGGGCAATATGCAGAATTGATAATGATGAAAATCTTATCAACATCCCTCCCTAGTCACAGTGGAACTGACCTATTGGATATAACTTGTCATCGCGTCATCATTTTATGCTAGTAGGATTTTGTTGTGTTTTCTAATAATTAAGGTGCTTTGTGAGGTCACAGTGACGTCTGAAATCTAATGAACTTCCTCCAGACAAAGACAATTAACAGACTCCCAATCAAACATCAAACAAATCAAACATTTTCCCCTCTTGTCATGCAAAACACAGCAACACAAATCATTGACAGACTCTACTGAAACTGTTCAATAAAAGACTGATAACAAAAAAGGTTGGTGCATATTAACATCAAGCGGAGGAAGTAACTTTATCTCAATAAAATGGGCAACACACGCAGGTGTATTCACAGCCTTTCACCATGGGGTGAACATGAAGGGCCAGCTCCATGATGGCATTATCAGACATCAGGGACAGAGGCAAACACAAAGAGAGTAACTGGAGGGCAACCAGTGGTGATGTAATACCATCCAGGTTATTCATTAACTCCCTGCATAACGTCACCTGCGGCCACAGCCTTGAGTAGGCTGATATGAAACGAGCAAGGTTCGCACAATGACAGGCACGACTGGTTTGTTTAGACCACAAACAATTACATCACCAGCGCATCTTGTGCCCTTTAGTCTGTGCAGCAGGCCCTCTCATGAACTCAAAGTTTGCATATATATGTGTATGTAAGCTGTCTGTCTGTCTCTCTCTCTCTGGAGTGTTTCACTTACACTTTAAAGGGTGACCACAACAAAGCACTGTGCAGCAGAAGTGGAAAAAAAGACGAACCGATACAGCATAGCATCGTATTATTTTTATCAAGCCACGGACACTAATTCAAGCAACATTACATCATATTTGCTCAACTGAAAAAGGCATTCAAGAATGGACACACTTGGCTTAGCTAATAGCTCAGTTACACTAGTAGTAGTACAAAAGCTGGACAACAACCTTGTATCTGCCAGAAACAAAACAAACCTGTGGTTGCCTTGTGATTGTACTGGATTCTTTTCACATTCTGGGACCAATTGCAACATGCTGCTTTTGTCAATGAACATAACATGAGTGGACTCGACTCAGCTGGCTGCCAAACAGATGTATTCTGGTTTTATTCATATAGAACAGGAAGGTAGCTAAACACAAATGTGAATTTCTGCTAAATGTGTTTTTTTGTCTGTGTAGACAGTAACAGATTGGTAGCACACTGACGCTGTCTAATAGCAACAATTATGGCAGATTTTAGTGACAGTGTCTGTGCTTTCCTGCTTTATCTTATTGGATTAACTTTGTGGACATAATTTGCAGTGAAATCACAATCTATGCTATTGAAATATATTTACCCTTTCAAAATGCCAAAAACTGCAATAATATCAGAATATCAAGTATTCTGATATTATTGTATGATGGGATGTCTGGTGATTGCCACTTCTAATGAGCAGGTACAGGATCACCTGTTTATAGTGGAGAATTTTAGTAGAAGTTCTTGCAATTGTGTTAAAAGGCAAAATATTAGCATATCATTCAAAATCACGACAGAATGAATAAAAGTATTGTCAGTTAAAGATTAATCTCTTGGTCTGTACAAAGGCCCAAAACAGTTAGCATTATAAGCACTGTTGTTTTGTCTCACAGTCCAAAACCAAAAGATATCTAGTTGACTTTCACCGGTGAGAACCTCCGACTTGATTATGAAAATACTTTATCATTAATTTTCTGTCAGGTAAATAAATGAAAGCATGACTGTTGTGAGTTCAGTGGCATTCACTGCTTTTAGCTATACAATAAACGTAGTAAACAATTAATTTATAGCTGTAATCAATTATTATTGTGGAATTTAAAAAGAAACAGTTATTGGCACACCTTAAATCATCAAAATTTTAACAATGCTTACAATTAATGGTTAATAGTTGATGATTGCCTAACCCTGAGTGTTTACCACGACTAATAACCAGTGTAACATGCTGTTGCAGCGGTCCTGTCATTTTAAAAAATCGATTTCTTGGTGCAGCTGGACAGCGCTATCATATTGTAAACAACACATCCAAGCATGAAGCCTTCCGGCGTCCTCTCATCAATACTCCCTCAGTGCACTGACTGCTGTAAAATGCAGGGTCATACATAGCTGGGACTACCCCCAGACTCCACTACAACAGCCACATGATAGGTAATGTAAATGTAAATAATATCGAGAATCTCTGATACAAAAATACATCGTCAAATAAATATAATGTGTACATATAGAAATGCTCTGAAAAATCAAATCATCAGAGATGGGGGCGCACATACACATACACACACAAGACAAAAACAAAAAACAGACAAGACGTTGTGTATCGTTTACCAGCGTTCAAAAATGATGGAGGCTGAGCGGTCGCAGCGCACTACAATAAACCGACCTACATTAGAAATAAGAATAGACTCCAGTGCGGACAGCAGGCACTGCTTTTAAAAAACGCCGGATATAGTCAGCATCAACTATTGTTATACCCCACACTTACAGAGAGGTTGTTTTGAGTGGGAAACCTGGCCTGGGTTTGTTATGACGCGTGGATATGTCCGCATGCGAAAATGAGCCCTCTCCATTGATCGGGAAGGCTGTGATGACTTTAACCAGCGCGAACATTAAACAGAAAATTCGGGAAGAAACCTAATACACCTACCTTACAATAGGAAAACGGCACAGCGATTTTTTTGCATCCCAATAAAACGATCGATAACTTGAGCATGGACGAGGTTTATTCCCATTATGAGACGGGCGCGCACTTAAAGAGGGGGGGAGGAGTGCGAGCTGACGGGCTCGCCGCAGCAGCAGCGAGCTGGGCACGAGCACAGACAGCGAGCAGCCGATTCAAACAAACAAATGTCCTTTCTTGCTAATTGACAAACACACTCAAGCACTCACCTCGGGCTCCATGCGTCTGCGGGGTGTTATTCAACTGGCCTCCATGTGTGAGGGGACAGTGGCGGAGTCTTCATGGGGGCTGGCCGGTGTTTACTTGGCGGTGTTGCGGGGTGTACAGTAAAGACCTCAGCTGACAGAGGATGACAGCGCCAGGAGCAAACCAGGCATGAAAGCGCGCGGTGATAGGCTACAAACGGCCTCCTCAGCCGTTCAGCTGGCTCGTGGAGAGCAAGATTAGCTTTACTAGGCTAGGTGAAGGCTAAAACTGTTAGCTGTTATTGTGTGTGTGTGTGTGAGGAGGAGGAGGGGGTGGTTAGGTACGGAAGGTGCACTTTAGCACTTTCATGAACTAAAGCGATGAGGTCATGGTTCAGGAGGGAGACGGGAAAAAAGGAAACTGTGAGGTTGACGTCACTTCCAACCAATCAGCGGCGACGGTTTAGGACTAGGGTGACGTCAGTGATCTGATCTGCGGATTAAAGGGACAGTCCGGCTTTTTTTTTCTTTTTTTAAAGGAGACGCACTCACGTTGAGTGTGTGTGTTTTTTTAAAACTGCCTTACACACAGAAAAAACAGGGATAATATGAATCTTTATTTATTTCCTTATTTTATTATATTCAAATAATTATTATGAAATACAAATCACATAACACCTTTTAAATGTCTAATTTCGTTTTATTTTTATGTGCTCCTTTCTGTTTCTGTTTCTCTTTTATGCCTTATTGAGCAATATTGTCTCGTTATGTTGTAGGTGTGGTTCAGCTATTCTGCCTCATTTACGCTATGTTGCTGCAGGTTATCCTTAATGTTTTGGCTTCTGCGAAATAATCATTTCCCCCGTTTTGGGATCAATAACGTGTATTCACTTAGACTACACTGCAGTCTGATCTCAGAATTTAAATGCAAAAAAATTGCAAGTCATTTTCTTAAGCATTAATACAGTTTTGCAGGGAACCACTATACCTTTTTTATTTGTAAGTTTTTATTCTATTTTACTTTTCTGAATTTCTTTCTTTCGGTTCGTTTCCTGTGGTTAGGCCTACGGTAAAAATGTAGAGCTTTTTAACAAAAAAAAATACAAAAAATTGAAACTAAATCCGAGAAAAACGATATGAGCATGCAGCTCAGACTCGTGTCTGTGTTACTTCATAACAAGTAAAAGCCAAATTTTGTAAAAGTAGATTTTCTAAAACAGGCTCACCCAGTGTTGGCAGCCCTGGATGGTTGACTATTACTATTATTAATATTTCAAAATCTATTTCGTATTTGCTCTTCGTCATGGACCAAACGATTTAAGCTGAATTGCACTTGCAAACTACTGAGGGGCCCGTTTCTCTTTGTGAAAGATACAGGCGACGCTGAAGTGTCATTTGGATGCCACTGATTTAATTTTGATTATGTTTTTCAAGATAGTGTTTTAAAAATAATGTGCAAGAAACGAAAACTGATCGATCTACAGTATCGCATTCTCACTTAGCCCGGATTCTGCAATGAATGGATGATTGGTGTTTGAATTCACCGCCAAGTAAATTCACTGAATTCATTGAATTCATCAGCTCTCTATTGTTAGATTAAAGCCTTTGTTTTGTTGCTTTGAACAATCTGTCAGCGAGCAAACAGTTGCCTGCAGGGAGGTTTGGCAATGTGTGTCATTAGATCGCATATACTGACCCCTAGCGGTGAACGTGTGCGATTGCAGCCTGTCAGCATGAAACCAAAGGGGGTGGAAAAAAGACTGATCAGATGATCAGGACAGAGTAACTCTAAAACAACAACAACACAAATTCATGAAAATCTATCTTTATTTGGATGCAAAAAGTCACAACTTAAAGCGATACTGTAGCAGAGGAGAGGAATACTGATTGCTGGTTGGTTGTACGTCTGACTGTTTGGCTATTAAGTCATCCCCATTTTGATCTTCAGAAGAAGTCCAAGTAAGCACGGACAACAAACACTCAAAATAGAAGCTTTTCAATCAAGTAGACTGGAGATTATCAGAGGATTATGTCACATGCCTGACAATACGCTGTAGCCTTTCTTGTCTGTCTCAACCAGATGCTGCTGTAAAAGGTCATTTTGGCAGTTATATTCTCCCGGCTGATGTCTTATTTATAAAGCGGTCCAAGCCCACTCTGGTAAGTTCATCCTCTGATAACGTCCGGGGCCACTGATCTGAAGCGTCATGATAGTCAAGATAGAAGTTGTTTGACTTTTTGTAGAAAACTGTCTTCACTGTTTTAGCTGCCTTACACATAGCGATTATTTCTCGTGTTGTCAACTGAGAGTGGCCTCGAGTCACAGATAGAATAGAGTGGGGACTGTGTGAAAACTCAGTCTGAGGTAAAATTCTCCAAGAAAACGATAAAAACGTACACAGAAAGCAAAGCATATTAAAGCAAAGCCTAAAGACCTAAAGTAATAATACTGAAGACTGAACATAATCTATTTATCTTCTGTACTGTAAGGTAACTTAGGTAGTTGTCACATTTTGTTCCGTTAAATCTTGCAATATAAACCGATGGTTTGATCCACAGTATGAGCTACATTCCATCATGGTGTAAACGGAAATATACACAAGGCATCTACTCGAAAGGATTGTATCAAAATGTTCTAAAAATATCTCTGGTTGGTTTCACAAAAGCAAACTGTATCAAAAGCATTGGCCGAGAGCAAGCAATAATAATAGGCTTAAACCCTTTTACACAACAAAAAGCAGGACAACCAATCACGTCGCTTTGATTGTGGACCTATGGAGTCCCATACAGCACATGCAATCCATTAAACTCAACACAATCAAAACACAATACAGAAAAAAGAACTTTTACAGCTGAACATCGGAGAGACAACCTTTGTTGGTCTATTGTGCTTCATACAGATTAGGCCTGGCCTGTCTATACAACAATCATGGGCTTCTTACTTCACAGATGTGTTCAAGCTACTGTTTAAAGCAGAGGCATTGCAGAACTTGAAACTCTGAGGGCAACAAGCTTCATGATAGAAAATTGGACATTTACAAGAATATCCTTATGTTTATGGTGTATTGTTTATGCAACTTTTTTTTTTTTTTTTTGCTTTCCTCTTCATTACATCCTCCCGTGTGTGTCACTGGAAACGTCGATTGTGCACAATGGATTCTCCGGAGCTCCTGCATTGATTTTTCTAATGGTGTGATTCTATTTCTGGCCTCTGTCCCCTCAGTATCCCTGGCTCTGTGACGCCTCTGAGTTAACGTCTATGTGGCCTTAATGCAGAAGTTGTTTACTGTAAACATCATGGGCCATGAGGACTGCACAGGCAGCATGGTAAAACTGTAATACTGTAGATTGCACAGAAATCCTAATTAGTTAGTTAATAACCTAATCGTTATACATTCCTATGTTCCATAACATTGCACATGCCTTTAATGAACACTTAGCACCATGCAACCTGAAGATGAGGTGACTCTTGAATGCAGCAAAAGTTGAGACAGGCCTTCTGTAATGATTTTTTTTTTTTTTTTTACATTGAAATTGAGAGAAAAGGCTAGACGTCATTTACTTTTACATTTCATATGAACTTTTATATCAGTATAGTTAAATATTAGGCTGGCATTTGATTATCTCTGTAGATTTAAACGATGCTGGCACTTATACTGTAAAGGGCCCTTATTGTCAACACATACTTTCTTTCATTTCCTTACAGGTAAGTCACACCACTGCAGGCGATCTGATTATACTTCACTTCCAGTCTAACCTTTCGATAACTGTACAATCATTACACGAGGAAGCTGTTTTAGACCAAGTGCAAAACAAGGCCTCGATGACGGAGACTAATGTGCAGTGGTGTGATGGAAACCTTAGCAGTGCAAATGAAATGAAGGCGAGAGTGCTGGCTTGGATTATTTTAGGTGTGACTGCTTCAACTTATCAAGAACATGTGGATCGATGGGACTGCGTTACTACTATTTTCAGGTGAGTTATCTCAAATCACACCTCCTCTATATTTGTTCTACTCAACCACGCACAATTAGCACAGATTCAGTGCTGTTTGAGTGACCCTGCCTTGAGTGAAGAGAATAACATGGTTTGAACTTGTTAAAGGGTGAGATTGAGATGATGTTAGGTACAGTGGTGCATACCACCTGAGGCGGTTACGTGTACAGTGGTGTGTCTCGGTCTAGGTGTGGCTGTTGGGCTCCATCTACTCCTCAGCAGTTTGAGAAAGCTGCTTCTCATACAAGCTCAGGACGTGATGCACAAACTGGTACTGCTCACACGTCTGTATCATGCCACCCCTGAAAAACACACACACAAAGAGATACCATTAAATCTAACACTTCACATAGTAATTATATAACAAAATTAAATGGAAAAATTTCGTTTAAAGTCAACATTTGTTTATCAGCTCCAGCAAAAAATTAAATGTTTATCATATTTTTTCAAACAATGAATGAAATACATTAGCCATGACATCTTGACTTATTAAACTCAGATGTATCCAATAACACTAATAATGACTGCTTTCATTGTGGGTGTTCTAATGTGCTTGATGGCCGGCTGGGATTGTACCTCACATAAATAATATTACTAGTAGCACCCATGCTTGTTGTTTTCTGACTCAAAAGTGAGTAAAGGTAATCATTTCCTTTAACACTCACAGAACCATGCATGGTTTTTTGAAGTGTGTAATTAATGGACTATAATTTTAAGATCCCTGACCCGGTCCTGAATTGGATAAGCACAAGACGGATGGAGGGACAGATAATTTAGAAGAAGGTTTGGTGACCTTCTTTTTGGAACTAAATCAAACTATGTCAGCTGAGCTTTTATGCCAGAACTAAAGATAGGCACGAGCACAGATAAGAGCTCTAAGCATATCTCACCTGTCCAGACGGAGCTGGCAGGTGGTTCTCAGGATGTCAACTACACCCTCAGTCCTCAGCTGCTTGCACAGGATGGAGGTGGCAATGAAGCAGCCAGTTCGACCAATTCCAGCACTGTAAAGAAAAAGTTGGAGAAGTAATGTGTTGGATTTTTGTATTCACTGAAATTTCAATTTCAGTGAAGGCACCATAAATCGAGGAACTGAACTGATTTGTGCAGTAACAAAAAACAGCAAAACAAGATACTGTAATATAAAACTAAAGATGGCTTTATCTTCTAAATATGAAATCTTTCATGCGCCCAATATTACAAACAAGTTGCTTTAGCCCTGTACCTGCAGTGGACAATTATAGGGCCACTGGAGGGCAGGGCTTCCTCACGGGCCCTTTCCACTTCCTGCACCAGCTCCAGCAGGGGTGGAGCCTTGTCTGGGGTCTTCTGATCAGGCCAGGAAGTGTACCAGTACTGCCGCAGAGTGCGCTCCTCTTCCCCGCACTGGTGCATGCACACAGACAGTGACACAGATGTCATTATACCAAGCACACAGAGAACACCTGTTGCTCTTCATGCTTGACCAAACAGTTGCCTTGGTTTAGTAGTGAACGCAGAACAAACATTAAAAAAAGAGATTGTACAAAAACAGACTATTTGTCCTGGTCTGTACTGAGCATAAACAAATTTCTGAATGTCAGTCTACCAATAATTATGAATCCTATAGATAAACAACATAACATGAGGAGATGAATAATCAACAAGCTTTTAACTCATTGCAGTTACATAATGATCCCCTGGTGCTTAGCAATCGGATGCAGGCTGCATTTACTGAATTATCTTGTTTTGTTTGCTAAGTGCCGATGCCACCATGACCTCAAATTAAAAATAAAGCACCCATCATGAACACATGAATGGAGCGTTGAGCGAACCACCTTCCAACACCCATATCTGTTGTGATAAATTACTGGATAAAATATGACTGTTTGATACACATAATTTTAGAAACATGTTTTTGTTGAGTCGGGAACACAAAATAATAATCTTCTGCAGTGTTTTTGTGACATTAATCAAGGGATCATCATGTAAACAGTGCATTTAATCGTGCACATACGTATCAGCAGATGCAGGTAAAAGTAGCTAATTAAAACGCACGGATTTATGGCTGATATTGTAGCCATGCAGATAGTTCTGATCCACATCTAACATCTGAATTTAAATTGGCACCTAAGGGATGAAATTTAATTTAAGTGCCTTAGACTGAAAGAATAAAAACAAAAATGTAACATATCTTTAGAGAAATTTCCACTTTGAATATAACATAAAGCACACTTTTAAACATTTTTAGGGTGTTACGTGGAAAGACGTCTGCTAACACAGACGACATATAAAGTAAAGGTGGGTAATCTTTTGGAATTAGCCACGTGCAGGATTGTCAACTTTGCCACGGCTTATCGCCTTTGGGCCAAGAGAGAGGAAAATGAATTCTAAAGTTTATCAGGGCATCATTCAGGACAATGATACAGAGGCTTTCTGATGTTACCTGCTCATGAAAGCTTTTACTGCTTTAAGCACATTAGCATACAGATGACAGGGTTTAACTTGCACACTTCTGTTCCTAATTACATGTTAAGAACCTGGCTGTAAACCCTTAGTTTGTTTTAATTGAAACTGTATATTTGACAGTATGAGCACCAGAAGAAAAATTAAAATAACTTGTAACTAGTTCTATATTTTTGTTTCGTTCACTTATTTCTTTGTGCACCCCTCTCAGTATGTATTCTGTCATCCCTTTAGGTCAACTTGCTTCTGATTTGCTGCCTCTTACAAACAGAAATGTGAACAGCAGATGGGTGGGGCTTATGTGCTCACAGCCAGACCTGTGCCTGAGACCGTATTAGGGATATCCACTCCATTTGACATCTGTCTCGAGCAGACTATTTGGAGCAGACCTGAGCTTTTGGCTCACCGGGATTAGTTTTACATATGTTGACCTAAATGAACCTTTGGCCACGCTTAACATGAGCATCCACCACTGTATCCCCATCCCGCCACCCATCCACCTCTGTATAAGGTTGTTTCCATTTTCATGTACGCATATCATTAGAGGCAAACAGCTTTTTGGCATTACTTGAAGCTAAAACATTAAAGTGGTGTTGTTGTGGTTCACCCTTTGTATTTCACATATTAATGCATTCTCTGTCGGTTACCTTCAGAGTAAACACCCTCAGACTGTAGTCATCCTCCTGGGTCACCTTGACCACAGTGATTTCGATGCCTTCGTGTGTCACAGTGTCCTCGGGCCAGTACTCAGCACATTTCTACAAGAAACAATAGACACAGCAGATAATATAGCTGGTTAATATTTAGGAACATTTATCAAAGAATCCTTTGAACAGTTACCTCATTCTTCTCCTCCAGGTTGGTGATCATCACTATGATTGGGGTCCTCTCTTGCCACACCATCCTCCATAAATCCCCCACTGTGTTCACAGTGGGACCCTGGGTAGCAATGTATGCACGCTCCTCGCCCCCATAACCCTGCACATGCACACACTCGTTGTTTTGCTACCATTACATATCAAAGCCATAACAAATCGCTGCATTAGAGTGCATTTGAACTTACTTTGAGATAATTAGCGTTGATATAGGTAGAAAGAAAATCATCTTCATCCTGTGACTTCAAGATCACTCTGCTGTGCGTGTCTGCAGGTGGACAATGTGACATTATCATGAGAAAGGGAGCTGATTACACATTCATTCATTCTGTATCTCATCCTACAGCTCAGTGATACATAATGGTTGCTCCCTTATGTGTGTCATTGTGAACATAAATACTGGAAATTTGATGTCTTGCAAACACATTTTAGCATTAAAGTGAAAGAGGATGCAAAATTATTTAAGATAATCAGCATAAAAATAGTTTTAAAAATTGCTACCTCAATATTATGTTTAAAGTAACTGATGTCACTAGCTTGTGTTGCAGCTCTACTTACTGGGTAAAATTGTTTTGTAGCGATTCTTTCTCACCAGCCCTGGGTAATTGTACTCCTTAGGGTCCACAAAGTTCATGGGAGTTTCCTGCCAATGGACACAGAACAATGAAGGCAAATGAAAGTGAAGAAATGGGGAAGTCCAAAAGTTACCTTCTACATAACAACCAAACGGTGAGGAAATAATATTAAACACGCGAAGTCATTCACAGCCTCTCACACTCAACCATTGCTGTATTAGTATGTGTGTGTGATCCTGAACGCGCATCCTTCTTCCTAACAGACACAAGAATTTTCTGTGGGTTTTTGTATGCAAAAAGAAAAAAAAATGCTTGCATCCCTCCATCTTCCGCCCACTAACAGAAAGTAGAAAAGCTTACGGGCGTGTGCAGAGCACCGATCGGTGTGTGTGGCTGCATCTGTGTGTGCGTGTACGTCTTTTCCGGCGAGTCTCTGTTCATTTCATATTAATCTCGAGAACGTAGGTGGCTGAGCTACTGTTGCTGCGCTCACATAAAACTCAGCCTGCAGGCTCTGGTCGTCCATGGCCCTTGTGTGTAGCATGGCAGGGGTCAGGACGTGCGTTCCCTGTCGGAGATACTCCTGGGCCGACTGGTCTCTTGGAGAGAGTTGGGCTCCGTAGCCATAGGGCTCTGTGCAGCCTGGTGTGCACATGTCCAAGGTCAGGGAAACATTGGAGCCTCTCCTGTTTTATTCAGACAGTCAGACAAATGCATATATCTGCATTACAAATGAATGAATAAAGTGTGAGTCTCCCTGCTGGAAGAAAAACAAACATAAATGCAAACATTTCCACCTGCTGGATGCTCTTTTCTAACCTCTCCTGAAGCCCCACTGGTGTGACAGTAAGGGTGGCAGCATCTCCCTCCGTCCTGGTATCTGCACCTATATCAAATACTGGAGTCTGGGGCACCGGGTCCAGGTCTATCAGATCCTCCTGGGCATCTGTCCACTCTGACAAGGTGAAAGAGGGCTGACGGCTCACAGACTGACGTCGATCACCAATGTCCCTCGACACAGTTCCTGATGACCACAAGCCAGAGCCATAATTCCACTTGCACACCAGGTGGATGATCTAAGGATAGAAAAGAAGACAAAAAAGAAGCAGTCAATAAGTAAATCAATCAAACACACAACAACAGGTCGCTACGTTAAGAAACAACCGATTCAATCGATCTTGTTTCCTTTTAAGATTATTATTTCCATCTTTATAGCAAATAACACCAATTCAGCATGCATCATGCATTAAATTCATGCTGAAATGACCAAAATTGTGAAATGTTTGCCTAAAAATAGAGCTTAAAATAAAGGATCCAGCCAGTGTTTTACCATGACTACACAGATGGCCACGCCGATGCCTGCAGTGCCATGAACAATCCAATTGTGCTCTGTGGTGTTTACCACATCCCTCATCACCACTGACTGGCCAATAAAGGGAAACACAGAGAGAGAATGAGTTAGTCAGACATAGTTGAGTGCTTCACATCCTGTTAAACAGCTGTTTATTCTCCACCCAGACTTAAAAGCTGTCAGCCACATCTAGGATTGATACTTACATCCGTTCCAAAAATAGGGTGGCAGGGTAAGATGAACCCCAGGTAGAAGTCAATGACCTGCAGGGCTTTGTAGATGGAAGAGAGTGGCCCATTTCCATCCACCACAAAAAATATCCAGTACCCCTGGGGGGAGAGAAGAAGGAAGGCAGATTGTCACCGCTCCAGTCATTCATGCACTGGAAATCGGACTGCAGCCATTCTCAGGTGAAAAGCGAGCAGAAAAGGAAAGAAGATGGACCATTACACAGGCATAAAAAATATGTAAATTGTCCACATAGAGTCTAGTGTCGTAATCGTGGCTGCATTTACGAGGCTCTTTTATTTACTTATGGTAATGTTGCACCTGTCCTTTTTTCTGTTTAAATGAATCAAACATGAAGTCAACAATAGACGGAAACAGGAAGAGGGAATTAATGGTGAAGAGGTGTCAAATTTTAGCCTCATCTAGCCACCCCCAGAAAAAGTATTTTCCAAGCCTGAAGCACTTGAAGCAAATATGAAAATGCAATCATACATATGAAAAGATAAACCACTGTGGAAAATTAAAGGTCAAGCTGAAAGAAAACCTCAAGCTTAAGTGTTGACTTGTCATTTGCAAGGCGGATATTGCAGCTGAAACCCAAAGACGACCTAAAAACTTACTCTGATTAAAAGCAGATAATAGAGAGCCTGGAACACATACCAAGATTTGGGAAGTGATAAACAGTGCTGCCCAGCAGTGGAGTTCAATCACCAGTGTGTACACCTTGCGTAAAAACAGTTCCTCTTGGGGGTTTTGGCCCTCAGCGGTTCCATCTTTACATTCTAGGAGCCCGTCTTTTTTAAGGGCTCCGTCGCCAATTTTTTCAGTCTTTGTGGGCTCGTCTAGCCAAACGGGATCCTCATCAGGCCTCAGGAAGATGGAGTCCTCGGTGTGGGAACGAGTGGAGCTACTCAGCCGACGGGTCATGATGCCCCTGTTGAACGAGGTTCCTTTGTGTTAAAAGGCCTTTCATATGTTATAAATCAGATTTTAAATGCATTTAGTTTACACGTGTTTATCATTAGGTGTTCGGTTTTATGTGTGCCATTATCTGAAAATCATCCCATCAAATACAAACTCCAGTTTTTAACCCTTTAAAAATGTAGACAAATGGCAACACATTTACTTATACTTTGGAGATCTTTGATAGGATCCTAGACTCTGAAACACCTACAGTACCTGGTGTTTGAAACATACAGATGTTAACATGCAGGTGTTCTTCTGTACTTGCAACTTATTTGCGATTTTTCTGCTTTTGTGTACAATAAAATGTCGAGGCCATAATTTTCAGCCACACTGGGGCTACATGCTGATTTTCATTTCAAGTATGTGCTATCTGTGTTTGTCACATTGCGTGTGTCTAATGTGTGGTTCTAAATGAGCGTGTATATGACAAAAAGGTTGCGTTTATTCTGCAGGTCTATTCAAATGTACAGCTAAGCAGCACAGAGTGGCTCTCATCTCCGGATCCTCTTCTCTCCCTTAGATTGGACTCCATCGTGTGTGTGTGTGTGTGTGTGTGTGTGTGTGTGTGTGTGTGTGTGTGTGTGTGTGTGTGTGTGTGTGTGTGTGTGTTGTGTGTGTGTGTGTGTGTGACAGAGAGAGAGAGAGAGAGAGGGTCCATTGTGGAGAAATGAGTCAGGGGTAGCGTGTTTACAGCCCTGTCCGTCACCTTGTCAACAGAGTGCTCTCATCCCTCTCATCCGTCCTGAGCATATATCTACATACAACACTGTCTCACACAGACAGTCAGCAGTGTATTCAAAGCTCTTTGTATGCTCGCACTTTATATATATATATATATATATATATATATAGATATAGATATAGATATAGATATATAGATATAGATATAGATATAGATATAGATATATAGATATTGTCACATGTTTCAGATAATCAAAACAATGTTATTATCAGAGTCAAATATAAGCAGGGTAAATACAAAATGCAGTTTTTAAATGATGATTTCATTGATTAAGGGAGAAAAGTTATCCAAGCCTACCTGGTCCTGTGTAACACAGTGATTGCCCCTCCTGTTTAATCATGAATTAACTGTAATTAACCACATTGTTTTGAAAGCTGAGTTCAGTTTCACTAAACATACTCAGGCCCGATTACTGGCAGATCTGATGAATCAAGAAATCCCTTAAAGAGCCTGCTTCAGCAAGATAAAAGATCTCAAAAAGCAACACATCGTGCCACGATCTGAACACAAAGACAATGCGTTGTGTGTTTTCTAACATCAAAGGTCAATAAAGTCAAATGACTGACCTATGAGAGATGGCAACGAACTGGCAGGGGAGTCACATCACATGATCAAGGTAAAACCTGTATCCTGGGGCATCCGGTCACAGTCAGCCATTGTGAGGCAGAGTCAATTCTAAAAGACACAAGACAGTAGCTCAGGGCTTACATTCAAAGTTAAGGTTAGCAAAATGATAAAGCTGTTGCAGATGTACTAAACATGCAAATCTCTCCAACCTCTGGAGCAGAAAAAAACAACAAACAAACAAGTAAGAAAGTGTCTCTTCCTCAAATAGCCAGGGATGGTAGAAAATAATACAAAACTGGTGCAAAAAATACAGTTTTATGAGTCACCTGCATGGTTATACGTGGTTCACGGTGTGACCATTTTAAACGATCACTTGATAATATGATATGTTAACACTACCACTTAAGCAGTGAACCTTTCGGACTATTGTTAATACAATTAAATCGCAGAAGTTTGTGCCATTTATCCGAGTCTGTGTGGTGTGAGCCCTATACCTCCTAGATGCAAGTCTGGGCATCAAAATATCAGTTTACGAACCAATGAGCGATGACACGGTGGATACATCCATTAGTTTAAAGTCTATGATAGACAGTAGAGTGACAAATCCAACTGGTAACATTGATAGACACTGAGAGAGGGTTAATAATTCAGCTTTCTCTAATGATGGATCAGAGTAGCACCCTTGTAGACTCCCAGCTGTGCGCTCATGAGGGGAGGATAGTGATGTAAGGTGACACAGTAAACTGTCAATATTTCTTCCCCACTCTTTCTTTCCCTGCCTCTCTCTGCATCCCGAAGAGGCAGGGATGATTCAAGCCAGACTAAGCAGACACCCTCAGAAATACATTCAGATTGCTCCAGTCGAATCAGTATGCATGATGAAGTCGAGCCTTCTCTGCCCTCCTCTCCTCTCTACCATCTCCCCCTCTCTCCTTATGTGCCACTGGACCCTGTTGAACGAATGGGGTGTGCTCAGCGGAATATGAGACCACACCAGTAGCAGGAGCTTAGTGTGTGTGTGTGTTCACTTTGAGTCCGTTTCTTTCTCTCTTTGCTTGCTGTGAAGGTGGTTTTGAAGTGATGACGCCAGTTAGACCGGCTTGTAGCCATGGCAATGTGCATACATGCAACGTACACACGTATGTTAAGTACACACACACACACACACACACACAGGCATGGATTGTGTTGTATAAGAGCGCTTCAATGTGTTCCATTTTTCAACAATAGGTGGACAGGTAGAAGAGTGGATGAAGGGATGAATGGAAGGAAGAGCAACTCTTTTTTTGTGTGAAGGTTGTCTGAAGCAATGACGCAGTGAGGTTGGCGTTTTGGTAACTGTGGCAACCAGCATACTGTAGCGTGTGTGTGTGTGTGTGCGCGCACATATACACAGACTTTTGTCAGATACCCCGCATGAAAAATGAAAAACACAAACACACATCTGCACTGGGAGAGCAGTGACAACATTCACGTTTGCCCTAAGAAAAAAAAATCGGCCTCTCTTTGCTTTTATTCTTTGAGGTAAATATTTCTGTTTTTCTGCTACTTGCTTTGTCTCAGCGCTTGTTTGGCAAACTGTCTGATATATTTAACCCAAGCAGTCGCTGGGATCTCAGAAATCCTGAGGTCACGAGTCCTCTTCTCCTACTCATTCATTACTCATTACTCCAACATTGGTGAATTGTACACGCTAAATACATCAGAAGTTTCTCATTACTTCCAGATTATTGTACAATTTCTGTTCCTTCCCTTTTTAATGTTTCTAACGTTGCAGAAAAAGACATGAATTTAAATATTGATGTTTGCGTAGTCTGCAGATGAGAATTAAAATACTCGCTGCAACTCCGGATTCAGTTAAACTGATGAATAAAAAATATATATCTGGTCAGCTATATTATATTGCATTCTGTTTCCAAACATGTTGCATGTACATGTAAAGGTATATTTAATTACAGTTCTGAAGATAGAATTTATTCATAATAGAATAAAAAAAATCTGAAAGTTTATGATAAGCTTTTCATTTACACTATAATCATTTAACACAAACAAAAACATCAACCCAGAGCAATTTACTGTTCCCATTCCAGCTGTTTTGTGCATGATTTTATCTGCATTTCACAGTCATATCTGGTATGTTTGCAAATTTCTCAAAAAGAAAGCTTTGTTTCAACTGATGTATGATGCTTCTATAGAATATATTAACACAGATAGTTCAGGAGCTTACAATGAAAATTAAAGATTTTATTACAAATCCAAAAAGATCAGAATCATTTAGCTGAGGATTGAGCTCAGGCCGAGTGAATTTAAAGCAAATAGGTCAAACCTGATGACGGATTGAGCCTCATTCCTCGTTGAAGGTGTACTGTCCTTGGGTCTTACAAACACCACCCCCTCAGTCTTCAAATAGAGTATGCGCATACTGTTTCCATTGATCTGCATCCATTCAAGAACCCACCATCCAATGGAGTCTAAAAGTGGGCCGTACAAAATGACTATTGCCTCTGTCCCAGAAGGGCTCGAGGACCAGAAATGAGAAGGGGGCTGCCAGCTGTGTATAGCTTTTTCCTACTCTCGGGAACAGGGGGAATTAAAGTGGTGACAGCTGGCGTGCGCTTTAATGGATATTCCTGATGCTCCCAGCGTCTCTGTGTGGAAAAACAATAAGTCCAAATCTGCTTCTTTAGTCTGTTATTTAAAAAACAACCTGTTTCCAGGAGAATCAAAGTGAATAAAGGGCGAGTATCAAGTGTGTTGCTGAAGTGCTCATATGGCAGAGAGACGAGGTAAGAGGAAGCTCTTACTGAAAGTGATGATGAGATGGAAACATGAGATAAAGTCACGAGGGCCAAGACCAGCCTCATCAACCTTTATCTCCCATACACACACAGAAAATCTTGATATTAATACACACATAAGCCAGCAATGACCTTAAAATGAAATGCCCAGCAAACCTGCAGCCTTTTCTTGTATATCACAAAGACAGATAATCAATCAGCTCTATTGTTTACATACACTCCCAGGATCGCTCGCAGCTGCTCCATGGGTATTTTTGGAGAGAAATCTCATTAAGGCACATATAAACTTACAATTCAGCCAAAGCTGTACTGTATGAATAATTAAAATGTGCTGCATAGCAAATTGATTTACAGGCTGCTGGAGATAAATCTGGATTCTTGGTGACAAAAGATTGTGTTACATGATTGCACTGCATCAAAACACCAGTGCAGGAATGGCATTCTCTGGCAGTCATTCATACTAAGACAAAACACCATTCATATCACGTACATGGCTACGGTGAGCTAGAGCGACCACACAGTGCAGAGCTGGATGGATTAGTAATGAATCACTCGGGGAGGTGGACTGTTGCATCTCTCTCTGGTAACTCCCACATTGTCACATAGACATGATACAACACAGAGGAAATCAAGCTTTGAGTGATAAACGAGAAGGAAAATACACAGTTAAAAGCGCCATCGACGGACCAACCTGTTGGCAAATGATCAGTTTCAATGATCTAAGAATAAACACGCACATATACACCTCCTACATCACACATCTCCTACCTTTTTACAGCACAGGAAAGCGCAGCGGCCATGTAAACCGTAGGGGCTTTGCTGAGGAATTGGTATTCACCTCATGTCATACAGCCACGCAGGGGGAAAGAGCGAGAGACAGCGGAGAGGCGAGGAGGGCTGGAACGGTCACAGTCACTCAACCACAGCCTTAAGTCTGGTTAGGATAAGTCCTCTTACCTGGCTGAGCCCGTCTTCACATCGCCATCTGCTGCTCTGCTCCCTGTGAGCCAAACCACCAGGAGCCAAACACCAAGAACCACGCCAATCCCTTTACTGCTTCTCTGTCTGGGAGATGGAGGAGTGTGTTTGCATGTAAGAAGGAGACAGACCGACAGTGAGAGACACAGAGAGTAAGAGGACGCGTGTGAGCCTAGGAAAACAAGAAATTGCAAATGTAAGGGGTGTGTGTGTTTGTGTGTCCGTGAGAGAAAGAGAGACAGAGGTATGAAAGTCTGATGGGTTTTCTTTTGTTTGTATCCTGAAGGAGAGAGAGAGAGAGATCCACAGGCGGCAGCTTCGTCTAGGTATATGCAGCAAGAGGCTGTACGGTAGCCTTGGCAACAGAGCCAGAATAAGGGAGAGCGAGCGAGGGAGGGAGCTAAGGAGAGAGCTAGAGCAAAAGAGAGAGAGAGAGAGAGAGAGAGTGTTTATTAATCTTATTGTGGGGACATAAATCTGTTAATACAGTTATATCAGGGGGGCTCACCTCTAAAGGAAGGTTTCAACAAGGTAAACCATTAAGTTTTAGTGGTGAAGGATAAGCCTGGATATATTATATATATTTTAATGATAGTTGGCAAACCCCACTAAAAATGCCAAAACCTGAAGCAAATGCATGCTGCCAACAGACTCTAGGCTTTGATTATAGCTCAAAAAAGGTAATAAATAAATAAATAAATAAAATACAGGCATTGTTGAGCCACATTGCTTCTTCAGTGTTACAATAAAAAGGGTCACTGGATCTGTCATTTAGCCACCTTACTTAAAAAAAAACAGTTGATAATCTGCAGCTGAAAATACATCAAATTTATCTAACACCAGAAACATACCAACAAACACGAGCTGTTTCTTTGAGAAAATACATTTGCGACCAATTTGTCTCTGAAGATTTGCATCATCTTTGCTACTGAAGGGTGATTGGGGTTTATTGCAACAGACAGGCTGGAGGACATCATGAAGCTCGAGGAGATAAATGCTTTGCTGAATCTGTTTATAATAACGACAATAATGAAAAAAACTCTCCAGGAAACAATAAAAGAAGAAATCAACATCTTCTTAAGTGACAAAAGACGTGTGTCTCTGTGTGTGTAGTGGGGGAAGTCGGCTCATAACACATCACTGAGCAGCGAACACCCCCCACTGTCACCTCCTCTGCTTCCAAGCTGTACGCTCTGCCACCCACCATCTCTCACTCATCTCAGTCACCACCCCCCAACCACCCCCCACCCCATCATCATCATCACCATCGCCCAGGTCTATTCTCCTTTTCCGGTCTCTATCATTCTCTGTCTTCTTAAACCTCTTGTCATTTCCCATCCCTCCTTCTTCAATGTGATGTGCTCTCTCTCCTCTCTCTCACACACACACACACCACACACACACACACACACACACACACACACACACACACACACACACACACACACACACACCCTCCTTCCTGTCTTGCCATATGGTAGCCTTTCCCTGTCATGAGCTCTCTGAACTCACCAGCAGCACAAACAGCCTCTATATGACCAACACAAATCACGGGGAAAACAAACATAGACTGCATACAATGTTTATATTATATTATTTGGAAAAAAGATAAAGATTGTCACACATGAAAGAGTAATTAACATGTTACACCAGAGCGCTCTGCTAAAATGTGCTCCTGTACACAAGACAAATTGTTGCAAAGAGAAAATTTAAAGGCACCAAAGCTTGTCTGATTTCCCTTTGGCCACTTGGAGGCAGCAGAAACAAGCTGTGAAAACAACATACAGGTTATCACCTTTGCTACCTTTCCTACCAGTATAATCTCAACATTCAGCTGAACTAATATGTCTGTACTGATGAATTCAAGTATTCACCCTGTTCCCCCTCTATTTAAGTTAAATTTCTTCTGATTGGCTGCTCGGCACAAATAGAAGGTTTGAACAGCAAGTAGAAGGGGTTGTTGTGCTCACAGCCAGAGTTGTGTATATTAGGGATACCTGTACTCATTTGTGTAACACAAACCCAGGAGTTAAAAAAAAAAAATAGTGATGAAAAACAAAGAAATAAAAACTAAAGCCTGAGATGTTGGCTCATATCTGCAGGGGAAAGCAAACTAGGTTGCCTTTAGAGAGGATCTCTTATAGCTGGTGTCACAACGGGTTCACACCAGTCTCTCCAGTTTCCTCAATAAAATTCAAGTGACTTGCTAAACTAAACCTTGTGTCCTTAAACACTTTCTCTCTTTCTGCCCTTTCTTATTTATGACCCACTTCAGACCCAGTCCTCCCCTTTCCATCAATATATCTCTCCCACACATCCTCACCTTTCTCCTACTGCAGTCAGCTAAATGAACTTCTCTGTCTTTCATCTTCACATTCCCCTTTTCCTTTTTTCACCATTAAGCTATGATCTAATCTAATTAATGATACAAAGAAAGATTTATCCAGTGTCCTTGAACTGTCCGGTTCACTAGCTGCCACGCAGAAACATCAAACTCTGACATCACTTCCTCATTCTCTCTCACACAATTGATACCACACAGCAATTTTACTGAAATGTGATGTAATCTCACAGAGGTGTTAAAATGCTTACTTCCCGGAAAGCTTAATGAAGTGCAATGTAGAACTTATAAAGAACAGTAAGAAAATTATTAAAGTGGGTTTTTTTCCATATTAAAACAGATTGTGGAGCAACATTCTTGTGGTAACAAATGGAGGCATCTAGTGGTCCTAGTGACTCACTGCTGGTGTCTTCATAAACGTACCCAGTAGACTCTGTCTCATTAATACTTGCTGGAACATTTAGCCAAGTGGTATTTTGTGTGGGGAGTTTATTTTATTTATTTTTTTTAGCACACTAATTGGGTTTAAAGCCTTCCTGTCTGTTACCAAACAGATGCCAAACTCAGATTTGACTGTGACTCATCGTGTCGCATTCAGATGAATGCAGCAGTTTCCAGCCATAAAACACAGCCCAACACAAACCGGCAGGATAATCTTGCTGCACATTTGCATTAGAGAGAATCAGGGAGCTATAAAGTGCTCATCTGATGAACGCAGCCTGCAGCAGGCTCACTTCCTGTTTCATAAAAGAAGACACATTATTTGTTGTAATGTCACAGGATTAGATAAATCAAATCTAAAGAAATTCTAGAGAAAATATTTGTTTATTGTCACTGGTATGATGGTGACACTATACAGCAAGTTAAATAAACAGTCTGTAGTCAGCCTTCCAAGTTAAATTTGGAGCAAAAAAAGCAAAGGACGTCTGTTGAGAGATGAGCTTGCTGATCTCGCCATAGGAAATATTACGGAGCTTGTGAAACACAGCTGAAATGTGCAGGGTCAAATGTGCTCTCTGACACTGCAATCCTGCGAGACCTTGCACCAAAAAAAGTGCAGTGTTCATGGACTAACTTGTCCATGAACACTGCACTTTTTTTTGGTTTATAGCATCTGTTGCAAATCAGAGATGACTATTACCAGGCAGAGCAGGTTTAACGAATAAGGGCAGTATGAAACGTTTAAGACCAAGTATTTTTAGTGTTTGATCAGCTGCATGAAATAAATAATAATTTTTGTACTTTGCAGCTCGGACTCATGTTTCACATCGGTTTTACTGAAATTCTACTAAAATGCTACTTCCTGAATGATATGATGCTTCCCATTCCTAGAAAAAAGAAAACAGAAAAAAATTAGATTAAGTATAATATGTGAAATTTGGCAATAATTAGCTATTTGTTTAAAGTCAGGTTTTTTTTGTAGCTTTACAGTACTGAGAGATCTGCTTATAAATAACTGATCTTTCAGTGCCAGTAGTCCTCGACTTGGTTATACTTTAACTTTTGCCTTCAGATAGCAATTTATTCCTAATCGAGTGGTCACTCGTTTCTCGGTTTGCCCTTCAGATATTCCGTTAAAATATTACCATTTGATGTAAATGACATTATTCACAGGAATTTACCCAGAAGACTTATTTTTAATGCTGTTTGTGACAGTAAATAGTGAGAAAAACACCTCCTCCCAGTTCCTGAGCAGCTATGTAAAAAAAACTTTAACACATCTGTGTTGCCTGGACTGGCGATATGAAAATGACAGCGGCAGTATTACCAAAATGAAAGTGTTATTCCACTCATAATCATTTAGACTAGGGAAAAAAAATAAACCATTGCTAGTTGTCTGCCAGTGCTTGCAGAGGACCTCAGTTTTTTCATTCGTTTATGTGATGCTATATGGGAAATGAGCCTCATGGGAGGTTTTTGTTTATCTGTTAAACACTGAATGTGGATTTGTGTGTACGTGCTCAGTCAGTTATTTACATTGGATGCAAAATGTGTTTTGTACACGGATTTGTTTTAACATGAGCATTTTTGAGAGAAAGAAGAGACATTAATCTTGAAAGGAATTATAGTAAAATCAAATGTCTTTGATGAGCCTTAAATGGGGTGTGCAAACATTATGTTTTTCCAGTGCGTCTCCACCCTCGCTGCAGGGCCCGGTCACAGCAACCTAGCCGCACCATCACTGCTAAACTTCAGATTGGATGTTAGATTAGAAATCTATGTTTATTCTAGGGTTCAAATCTCAAGACGCCCAGACAGTAGAAATGGACAACCACTAGTTCATGACCACAACCTCAATTATGTCCATTTACTCAACTTAAACAAACAAACAAGTAATGCAGAGATAGAAGGATATGGAGGAGAGTTCAATGCTTTGGATAAAACAGTGCACAGTCAAATATTAGAGCTATGGTGTGTACTTTATTAGTGCTTTG